CCCGCGCGCGGGGCGTGTGCAGGACCCCCGCCCCGCGCCTTCCGGAGGTCGCCGGCCGCAGGGCGGGCCAGGCCCGCGCTGCGGCGGGGTTCCGGCTCTCCGATCCGCAGTTTCGGGGCCACTTGGACGGAGTGCTGCCCGGGGGGACCGAACTGCGGGCGCGCGCGCGAGGAGCGATGCGGGCGGGCCTATGCCTTTGTGTCTCCTGCGCTCCCGCGCAGGTGGGCAACCCGCGCCAGGAGCCACTTTGCCAGTGCGCCCCGGGACCCCGAGTCCCGCTTTCCGTGTCCGAGGACTCGGACCGCCCTTTGGGGCGGACAATAGACCCTTCTCCCAGTGGCACCGTGGGCTCTAGGGGTGGCTTATTTGGGGACGCTAACGGGACTTTCGCAGGACCGCTCGCTCAGAGCCGGGCCGCTGGCAGCAGAGTTGGGCGCGTTTTCCTTTCTCAATCGCGCGAGGGAGGAGATCTGGGGACAGACTGTCCTCGGCCGATAGGTACGCGGCGAGTGTCCCGAGCCTGCCGGTCCCGCATTAGACAACAAAGAGAGGCGTTAGCGGCGGCGGGGGAGGGGCGCGGCCGGGAGGAGGACGGGGCGGGCTGCGGCGAGCGCGGGGGTGGGGGGCGCTCGCTCTCCGCTCGCCCTGACCGCGGCCTCCGCCCGCCCCCGGCCCGGCGCGCGCCAATCGCCTCCCCCAGCGATAGTGTCAGTAGCATTGTAGTGTCAGCTCCCGCCGGTGACGTTGCGCCTCCCTCGTCCCCCTCCGGAGCCGTCTGGCTGCAGAGGCTCAGTCAAGAGGCGGGGAGGAGAGGAGGAAAAAGCGCTGAGTGAGGGCGGGCGGGCGGGCGGGCGGGAGGGAGTGGAGGAGCCGGGGAGGGGCTCCTTAAAGAAACGCTGCTGTCGCTCGCCTGCTCGGTCCTCGCTCGGCATTGTGGCCAGCCAGCCGGGCACTCGGGGGGTACGCGCGGCCGCCGCTCGAGCTTTGCCCCCACCCCACCCGCCGGCAGATCTGGGGTGGGGACCCAGGCGGGGGCTCCTGCAGCCACTGCCCGGCGCGGACCGCACCGAGCGCCCCACTCCTCCCGGCGCCGAGAAAGGAGCAACGGAGCCCTCTGCAGCCGGCCGGCCTCCCCGCCCCTGACCACTCGCTTCCCGGCTGCCTTTGTGGCCGCAGCTTCTCGCCGCCGAGCCGAGGGCCGGCGGGGGCGCGGCGCGCACGGCCGAGCGATGCCCAGCTCCCTGTTTGCAGAGCTGGAGCGCAACGGCAGCGGCGGCGGAGGGGGAGGCGGCGGCGGCGGTGGCGGCGGCGGCGGCGGCGGCGGCGGCGGCGGGGGAGAGACCCTGGATGACCAAAGAGCCCTGCAGCTAGCGCTCGATCAGCTCTCCCTGCTGGGGCTGGACAGTGACGAGGGCGCCTCTCTGTACGACAGTGAGCCGCGCAAGAAGAGCGTGAACATGACCGAGTGCGTGCCGGTGCCCAGTTCCGAGCACGTCGCCGAGATCGTGGGGCGGCAAGGTGGGTCCGGCAGGGATGGGGAGCTGGGGGGGGGGGTGAGTGGGGGAGAGGGTCTCGGGCCACCGCCCCGCGGGGAGGGCGCGGGAGGGCTCGGGATCCGCGGCGCCCGCGAGCCTTGACGAGAGAGGAAGAGCCGCGCGAGGGGCCGGCGCCCCAGACAAAGAAAGTGCAGGCAGGCTGTCTCCCGGAGCCGCGCCGCTGCCACGGCGGGATGCACTTCATCCTGCTAAAATCACTGCCTTCTCCCCTAGCGCCCCCCACCCAACCCACCCCGGGAAATAGAATTTAAATATAAGATGCTTGGGGGAGGGGGCCTTTGATGGGTCCTTTGGGAGGGGGAGGAGGAGGAGTGAGCATCGGATGGGAGGAGGATTCTGGATTTCTGCAAAGCGGAATGGAGCCCAGAGGAGGAACAATGGGTCCCGGGACTGCCCCCCCCCTCCCATCAGTCCCCCAGCTCTGGTGGTGGGGGGGGGGCGGGCGGATCGCGGCTCCGGCCCTCTTCCCCGGACCCCTTCGCCTCGTCTTCAGGGCGGACGGCGCGCCCCGCTGGATCCTAGCGGCATCTCCCCAGCTGACTTTTTCTGGGATTCTCGGGTTTGCTCGGGACGACTGCAGTCACCGGGGGAGGACTGGGCAGCCAATGGGCTGTTCCTCGAGCGCCTCGCGGGTGGAACCCGCTTCCCAGCCGGTGGCGTGGCCCGGGGTCAGTGAGGGAGCCGCCCCCTTTCCGCCCAAAGCGTGTCCTGCTGTCCCGCAGCCCTGGGCGCGGGCGGTCCCAGGTCTCCGCGGTTACCCCGGGATAATGGGCGTGTCTGTCTCTCTCTCCCACTCCCTCCCCTGCACCCGGGCTCCCAGGTTGTAAAATCAAAGCGCTGCGGGCGAAGACCAATACTTACATCAAGACCCCGGTTCGCGGGGAGGAGCCTGTCTTTGTTGTGACGGGCAGGAAGGAGGATGTGGCCATGGCTCGGAGGGAGATCATCTCTGCCGCGGAGCACTTCTCCATGATCCGCGCCTCGCGGAATAAGAACACGGCGCTCAACGGCGCCGTGCCCGGGCCGCCCAACCTGCCTGGACAGACCACCATCCAGGTGCGGGTGCCCTATCGCGTGGTGGGGCTCGTGGTGGGGCCCAAGGGCGCCACGATCAAGCGCATCCAGCAGCAGACGCACACGTACATCGTGACGCCCAGCCGAGACAAGGAGCCGGTGTTCGAGGTGACCGGCATGCCTGAGAACGTGGACCGAGCTCGCGAGGAGATCGAGGCGCACATCGCCCTGCGCACGGGCGGTATCATTGAGCTCACGGATGAGAACGACTTCCACGCCAACGGCACGGATGTGGGCTTTGATCTGCATCACGGGTCCGGCGGGTCCGGCCCGGGCAGCCTCTGGAGCAAGCCCACCCCCAGCATCACGCCCACCCCCGGCCGCAAGCCCTTCTCTAGCTACCGCAACGACAGCTCCAGCTCGCTCGGCAGCGCCTCCACAGACTCTTACTTCGGCGGGGGGACCGGCGGCAGCACAGCCGCCACCCCGCGCCTAGCGGACTACAGCCCCCCCAGCCCCGCGCTCAGCTTCGCCCACAACGGGAACAACAACAACGGCAATGGATACACCTACGCGGCGGGGGAGGCTTCCGTGCCTTCCCCCGACGGCTGTCCCGAGCTACCGCCCACCTTCGACCCGGCCCCCGCCCCCCCGCCTGGGGCGCCCCTGCTCTGGGCTCAGTTCGAGCGGTCTCCGGGGGGCGGACCTGCGGCGCCCGTCTCCTCTTCCTGCTCTTCCTCCGCGTCTTCTTCCGCTTCGTCCTCCTCGGTGGTCTTTCCCGGGGGCGGCGCCAGCGCGCCCTCCAATGCCAACCTCGGGCTGCTGGTGCACCGCCGGCTGCACCCGGGCACCAGCTGCCCGCGCCTGTCCCCGCCCTTGCACATGGCGCCGGGGACGGGCGAGCACCACCTGGCGCGCCGGGTGCGCAGCGACCCGGGCGGAGGGGGCCTGACCTACGCCGCCTATGCCAACGGGCTGGGGGCGCAGCTGCCGGGCCTGCAGCCGTCGGACACCTCCGGCTCGTCGTCGTCGTCCAGCTCCTCCTCCAGCTCCTCCTCCTCGTCGTCGGGGCTGCGGCGGAAGGGCAGCCGCGACTGCTCCGTGTGCTTCGAGAGCGAGGTGATCGCCGCGCTCGTGCCCTGCGGCCACAACCTCTTCTGCATGGAGTGCGCCAACCGCATCTGCGAGAAGAGCGAGCCCGAGTGCCCGGTCTGCCACACCGCGGTCACTCAGGCCATCCGCATCTTCTCCTGAAGGCGGCGCGCGCCTGCGCGCACCCCGCGGGGAGGGGGGGGGGGG